ACTTCATTGCTTATTGCGCCTACAGAGAGGAGGAAAGTTAGCAGAATTTCCATGTTCAGAAGGCTGAAATAAGCAGTGATCTTTGCTCTAATAATGTTAATTAACAATTTTCAATTCCTAATATTAGCCCAAAATAAGGTAGGATTTCTAAGGTCTCTCTTTCATTGTGTATACGGTTTTTATCCATCTTGTGATACGCAGAAATCATTCACATAGACTATTCTACTTCAAAAAACAAATATAATAGAAGCCGCTCTCTCCAACGAGACTTTCGAAATTTTTTCTTTTTTTTGACATCATATACACAACAAGATTCTCTTGATTACCATTAGGCGAGTATAACATGACGCAGTGAGCAAGGAGATTAGAAAGTAACTCTCATAAAGTACGGCGCTTTTTAAAACCAAATATTCAATATAAAATCTGGTCACATCATGCAACATCGAAAAGAACTTCAGTCATCCTCATAGAACAAACTCTCCATACGGCAGTAAAGTACAAAGTGTCTCACCAGTGCAAAGTAATTCCATGTTCTTTAAGCTTTTCTGCACCTCCTTGTTCTCTGTCAAGTAAGCAAAAAACATGTTCCACTACTAGTTCCTCATCTCGTAGAACATTTACAACCTTAAATTCAAAGGATATCTATTAAACACCAATTTTTCTACTATGGACTCACATCTTGGATACTTCCTCCCGTTGTAACCACATCTTCAATGATTACCACCTTGTCACCTCTACTATAGAGACCTTCAATCAATTTCTTTGTCCCATAAGATTTCGCCTCCTTCCGAATGATCATCAGAGGTTTGGCAGAACTTTGGGCTACCAACTGTAGAGTACAAAAGTGTAAAGGAGACAGATATATGCGAAGTAAAACGCAAAAACCCACAGTTGCGTAAGGTAATGCAGCGTATGGCACTCCAACAATTGCATTGAAAGGTACATCTGTTTTGTCTATCAATGATTTAAGACCATCTGATAGTAAACCCTGAATGATGGCAAAAAAA